CCCCCGCCCCCCCTCCCCCCCCAGCTGGCCTGCACCAGCCTTTAAAGAGGCACAGACGTTTCTGGGCACTCTAGGCATGGGCTCGCTGGAGCAGGGGAAGGAGAGCAGGGGGAGGGAAGAGGCCAGAGCCCTGCGCTGGGGGGGGAGGAGAGTCGGGGGAGCAGGGGAGGCCGCGGCGGCCACTCACGGTGCAGGCTGAGGGAGATATTGATGGAGCGCTCCTCCACGAAGCCCTTCAGGTTGGGGATCTTGGCGCACTTGAGGATGGTCTGGGAGGCGCTGTCGCCCACGTGGACCCAGCACACCGTGTCCTCGATGTAGTTGAAGTCCATGGCCGTGGTCTGCTTGGTGCTGGTGGGGGTGATGTTGGGTACCGGGCCCCCGCTCAGGTAGGTGGCCAGGATGTTCTGGGAGTTGGCGATGAGCAGCACGGCCGGCCGGTCCACGGGCTCTGGAAGCAGGAGGGGAGAGTGGCCATGGAGGGAGGGTGGAACCCGCAGCAGGTTTCTGTGCAATCTGCAGCCCCAGCAGGGAGCTCCCAGCCAGAGCCATGCAAGAGGGAACGCGAGGGGTCGGCCCAACACGGCAGGAGGGCTTCTAAAGCAGGGAGCCCAGGAACCCACATGGGACCAGGGACAGGAGACCGAGGCTTAAGACGTGGAGTCCTGATTCCCAACACCACCTGTGAAATGTGCGTGCTCCAGGGGGCCACGTGGCTTGGCACACGCTCCAGGCCCGCACACGCAGGCAGGAATTCCTCGCACGTGTGCTGTGGCCACTGGGTCACTCTGCACCCAGACACACACCTGGGTCACGTGTGAACACGTGCACACTCTGGGGCAGTGGGATGACTCTGCATGCACACGCACACCTGGTCACGTGCGAACACGGCAGGAGCACCGTACACGCTGTGGGGCAGCGGGGTGGCTCTGCGTGCACATGCATACCTGGTCACGTGCGAACACGCGGGAGCACCGTACACGCTGTGGGGCAGCGGGGTGGCTCTGCATGCACACACACACCTGGTCACGTGCGAACACGGTGGAAGCACCGTGCACACTCCAGGCAAGCCAGGTGGCTCTGCACACACCCCAGGTCCTAAGCGCTGGCGCCAGCCGCAAGCCACGCCTTGCTGCTCAATGCCACCTACCGTTCTTGGCTTTGCAGGACCGGTTGTCGGGCTGCAGGAGGTAGCCCTCCACGCAGCTGCACGTGTAGGAGCCCTCCGTGTTGCTGCACCTCTGGCTGCAGGTCCCGTAGATGGTGCACTCATCGAAGTCTGCAGGAGGGGGCGAGAGAACAAGGCTGGTCCCACGGCTGCCTCTGTGAGCCAGAGCCCCCCCTGTGCCCCAGAATCTCCCCCAGCGAATCCCACCGCCCCCCCGC